TCTCTGAGCTTGGTTGTTTTCTTGCAAATGTTTTGTTACCCAGCTAAGTAACATCTTCAGTGCTAGAATGGAATGAGGTTTGCTCTCTGTTTATATACAGTAGTCTGCCCTGCCAATGTTGGTGTGGGTGTGGGTTTTGTTTTGTTTTATTTTTCCCCCCTCTGGTAGTTCCTTGATTAGTGTATTATTTACTGCTTGATTGTACGTCTGGTGATCATCTTGGTGTTAAACTCCATAATCTCACAACACATGGACAGACTTAACTGTAGTGTCAACTGGGAAACTGTCAGCATCTTAGACCAAGCTAAATCCAAAAACGTGAGGGAATTCTTGGAAGCTTGGTATTCAGACAAGGCAGCCATCAACAGGCACATAGAGAACATCTACACTATTCAAAAGATACAATAGAAAGGAAAACCAAAGACCAGAACATCTCCTCACCAGTAATCATCACCCAGATAAGCAGAGGTTAAGTTTTTCAGGGAATAATAATTAATAATTAATTCTAGTGTAGTTTCATTGTTTACTTTTCCCAGCACATATGAAATGGTGCAGTATAAGAAATAATTCAATTGTTGTTGTTAACTGTCAGATTTACTATAGCAAAATGCCAGAAAACTAAAGTACATCTTTCTTTCGATCAATGATATTCAAAAACATGAGAAACAACACTGGCTCAAATATTAATACAATAGCAAAGACATTTGAAAAATCCTTCAATCAAGCATTCTTTCATTTACTTGTAGTCTCCATTTTAGCTATAACAACAAAATAATTCCAAATAGATTATCTGCATCTACGCAGAGGCTTTTTTGGATAATAATATTTTGGACACATTATGGGAAAACCTAGCTCTCTTGAGTAGTCAATAATGCTGAGAAAGGTGGAGGGAAGGAGAAGAGGATGACTACTAACAAGGTGGATGGACTTGGTTACAGCAGCAATGGGTGAAGGGCCAGATTGGGAACAGATTATTCTGGAGAAGGTCTACGTATGTAAGCAATAACTAAGAGTTTTGGGGAAACAATAGTTATACTGCAGACATTCACATAAAGACCCCACATCTGAGAAAGTATTGGAAAAATGAAAGTACTAAGCTGTCCAGCAGAGGAGCTTCATTTGTGAGATTTACTGTAGCAAAATTATAGCAAACCTAGTGCTTTGTGGCTTCAGTATATAAGCCATAAAGATGCACTGAACCTCCCCAACCCTTGGGTGTAACCCCAGAGAATTTCAAATATTACTGTATAACCAAATTGTAATGTTTAATGTGAAGAAGGTAAACATTCTTAAATATATGACTGGAGATTAATTATAGTAAATAAATAAGTAAAATAAAAGGAGATCTGTTTTCATGCTTCACTAGTCTGACCCACTGTTATTTGGCATGTGGCCTCAGCATATTTCTCAAAGGCTAAATGTGGTCCCCAGAGAAGAGAAAATGGTGCACCTCTGCTTGAATAGCTCTACAACCAGGGAATCCTGGATTCCTACAAGTCACAGTACTCCAATAGGTTGGAAGTGGCCAGGGTGAAAACGTTTGCCTTCTGAAGTAGTTCGTCTCTGTATAATAGAAGGGGAAACTGGGGGTGGGGGAAAACATTTGCTGAATGTTGTGACATTCTGGTATGAGAAACATGGATTTCATGGGCCATCAAGCTTTTAAAGATACATGATTTGTTTTAAGAGATAGTGGCATATAAGCAATACAGTAGAGATGTTTATGCAGTTGCAGGAAATAATAGCATAAATGGAATATCTGGCAGAATCTGCCCTATGCGTCTTCCAAAAAAGAAAAGATAAAGGCTTGCGCTCTATCGGTCTCTTTTCCGCACTTTTATCGGTCCTATTTCTGTTTCATTTTACCAGCTCTAGTGCTTTGAAGTTCAATCTGGGAGCAAGCTCCTTCCTACTGTATTCAGCCTGGATTTTTATGAGATAAGAGAAATAATACAGTTTCCTAAGACTGCCCAGCTGGTCTAAATACTCTTAACTTCACCAAGAGTTCTTACCGTTAAGCCATTTAGAGTTGTACTGTGCTGTTCTAAGAGGTGGGATGTTTCCAAGGCTGCGGTAAATGGCTGGATCCCGTCCAGAAAAATCAATGACAGTTGCAGCATACAGTTCTCCCTGGGATGTGATCACAGCTGTCGAGTTGTGCCGGGGGTCGTAAGGGCAGCGAGCTACCCCATTTATTTTTTCAATTATTTTGCTAAGATTTCCTACCTGCGTTTTAAAAAAGGAGCGGGAAGATAAAACAATGAGAACAATAACAGAAAACACAGCTGGCCAAGCAAAACCTGTGTAAAACCTGTGTAAAATCTCACATTACTGTAACTCTGGAAAATGCTATATGCAATCAGGGCAAGAACTATGATAAAAGGGTTTGTAATGATCTGCCATGGGGTGGCACACCACATATATGCTCTTGTACACAGTTAATTATATTTTTATTTTTAAAACATGCACAACTAGGACCTAAGTCCTAAGGAGCAGGGCAGGGAAAATGGCCCTCCAGATGTTACTGAACAACTTCCAGCATCATTCATTATTAGACAACCTGGCTGAAGTAACAGAAAGTTGTAGTTCAGTAGTATCTGGGAAGTCCAAGGTTCCCCATCTCTTCTGCATGAGGATTTCTAAAACAAGGTATTGTTGTCCTAACAAACATCTGTTCCATTGCTATCTATGGATCCCAACTGATGAACTTTCCATGCCAGCCATTGGATCTGTCTCACTTCCAGCATCCTGTCTTCAACTTCTCAAAATTGCTTAGTGCAGTCTTTTCATCTAACTTCTCACCTAAAAGACTACTGTTCACCCATTTCAGATCCTCTTTCACATGATTTAAGCTGAAGCTTGTATTTAATGTGGAAGATTTTAGCTACCCCCCTGAAAATCCATTAAAGCAGGGAAAGGATGAGTGTCCTCAGGCACGCTCTGAAGAAAGTCCTAGTCCTGGAGATGCACCCAATGATTCCAAGTATGCAAGACTGCTTATGGGGACACTGGGACACACAGGAGCCTCTGCTGAAGATAGTAGGAATAAGCCAGTTCACATGGCAAAAAGTGGCCCTTTAGCTAAGACAGTCCAAAACTGAAGGGCTTTAGTGACTATTGCAAAGTTCTGAATTTAACCCAGAAACAACTGGAAGCAAGTTCCAGCAATGGAATCACATGTTCCCTTTATGAAGTCCCACATTTTGAAGTTAGTTTTTTAATTTACTTTAAATGGTTGGCTGGCATATTTTGGACCAAGAGTAGTTTCCAGGCATTTTCCAGAGCACCTCACATACAGCTCAATACAACAGTACAGGCATGATAAACTAATGAATGCAGATATAATTTTTAGTAGCAGGTAGAACTGGCACACCTGCCTATATTGCAAAAAAGGTACACCACAGAATGCTGACACTTGGATACTCCAACTACCAACCTGCACTGTTAACAACTTTTTAATGTTAATAATTGTAACTAGCCATCTTTGTATTCTAATGTATGCTGCCCTTTCTTGTTACTACTTTTTTCTTCCTTCTCTCTTACAGTTACACCTATCAGAATTCAATTAGTACAATGCTAATGTTTGTATCTCATCCCTAGAGTGATTTATAAGAAACAGGGCATCCTCTGATCATACTTCCACTCTAATTCTTTGGCTTCTCCTGAAAAAGGAAGGGCACAATTTACCTGTCTGCTGGAACATACTGGTGAGAAAGCATTTGTGCCACAAGTGAAAACCTTCTTGCCATAAACAATAAGAACACGAACATAGTTCTGGCATTCTTCCTAAAGCAAAGACAAGAAAAGACACTTTACAGAAAGATGGCCAATCTAAGTGTAATGTAAGCTGACACTTGTTGGAGTTTAGCTCCAGATGAAGGTTGAGAAAAATCTGCTGATCTGGGAACAGAACATTCTGAAGAACTAATTAGTACTTAGTAGTTTCTAGAGGTGGTCTGGCTCTGAAAAAAGCTTGTTTTATTCAGAATATCATGTCCAGAACATCTCAAACTGTTTTTGGTTTGGAGGACTTAATTCCAGCAACCACTTCCATGCTGTTGGGTAGCATGCTCTGGAGAAAAATGGAATGCTCCAGAGTTGTCTGGAATGTTCTGTTGCTGCATTCAAGAATTCCGCATATCCCCCATTTCAGACTCTGCTGTAAGTACCATGCTACAGAAACACAGATGAGCATGCCTCTAAGATTATAGCAATTGTCTATCACTTGCTAAGTGTGACTGGAGAAATATAACCATAAATTATAGAGCATAACTTTTAGAAACACTTGTGCCATAGTATCTTTAATTTTAAACACCAAAAATGATACTAAGCGTGTAAGTGATCAAGGTACACTTTATTCAAGGAGGATACATCCAAAATTATGTAATGGACTTCCCCAAATGGAGAAAAGTTCTTTGGAAAAGATCAAGGATATCATTGATTTTTTTAGCGTTTGGGTGTCTGCCTTTCATAAAAAATTTACTTTAAGCCTAGTAATCTCAAAAAAGTTTACTTTAAACCTAGTAATCCCAAAAGTATTTAGAACACACAGCAAGTGTAAAAGAACTACAGATATTAAATACTGTTCAAATCTTCCTTTATTTAGAAGATTTTTTAAAAAGACACATAATATAGCAGGATAAATTCAATTTGGTAGATTCAAATTGCCCTCTTTATCAAGAGTTGCAATTTACCAGTTGAAGGAAAAGTTATCAAGAATAAAAATACACAATAAACATTGAATTAGAGCTGAGAAAAATCAGATTGCTACGTACGTAAAGGTAAGATTAAATATAAAATAAATCTTTGTTGTAGCATTTGTTAAAATTCAGTATTGAGCAAGCCCTGATAATTCATTTTCATAAAACTAAGAATCCACTTGTAATATATTCTGTAAAACAGAACTGGGTTATTGGCAAACTGAGACAACATATGATCCAATCACCAGGAAAAAAGAAATCACCATATTTCATTCAGTATCAGTCTCTTTGCTCAATAGTCCATTTTAGAGGAATTTAATAAATCTCCAAAATATATGAATTGTGAACAGTGATGCAACACTCTGGTGATACTGCATAATCAGAAACACTCTGATTACTATGTACAGAGACTTCCTATCCATAAATAATAGCAGCTTTTGTATGCATTTTATTCTCTTCCATTTTAGAGAAATTAGTTGGTTGATTAAAAGTATACTTTACTGTTTTTCCCTCTAGGCTATTCTATAAAGAAATGTCAACAACTTTGACTGCAGCCATTTTTTATGGGTCAGAGGTTTGGTTTTGTTTAAATACCTATAGCTTGAAATAGCTGTGTTCTATGCACTTCTGTTTAAACAGCTTCTGGGGAAAGGAGTAAGTTTCAGATATATTCAGGAAACATAACTTGCTCAAATTATCGTGTGCTCAATTTCGTTCTCATTCGCTGGAGACTGTAAATGGTCACCAAACAGAGGCTGTAGCTGAATAACCAGCTATTCCAGAAGGTCAAAAACACTGTTTCCAGTTTCCCACTATAGAAGTGTGCATGATGCCAAACATTTCCTGAAAAAAATTATTTGGGTGTTTTGTTAATACACAACCACTCCAAAACACCCTGCAGGCAAAGAAAGATTCTTCCATAATTACAGACATCACAACTTCCTTTCATTTATGAAATGGAAATCATGTCACTGAAACATTATCCATAATAAGTGCTACAAGTGTGGCCTACAAACAAAGTGCCAGATGTCCTTGTTGTTTGGGGATGTATGTTATAAAGGAAGCTAAGATATTCATTTGAACAGATAGCAGAATGTGAACTGCCAGAGTTGGCCTGGGGAGTACACAGAATGAGTGTGTCAAGATCACAGCGTTCCTTGGAGAGGTTCGCATGGTTTACCTTTCATTTCCATTATGTCTTGATCAGACATACAGGGATCAGATCTGAAATTGCTCTCAGCCTGGAAGCAAAACTTCAACACATTATCTTTCAGAAATAGATAAGCTGTGGTTTATTCTACATAGGACTATCAATTGAAGTCATGACAAACAAAAGTATATATGCTTGGAGCTGAGTTTTGTGATCTCATCCGTTTAATTCTCCTCCAATCACACTGCGAGTGGAATAACTCATCAGAATCAGGAAAGTTTCAGTTTGGTCTTCTCCCTGATGTATTGATATGCTACCTGCAAACTGTCTTTTACATAGTAGGAAAATAAAAATGCAACTCTCTTTTAGTAATCAGAAGTAACCCATTTTACAATCCCAGTGTTCTGCATGTTATGTTTGTCCTGATTAAATAGCAACGAGTAATGTATAAATGATAGTTTATTAATGTATAAATGATAATGAAGCTCAAGCTCAGATACTTTGGTCACCTAATGCGAAGAGAGGAGTCTTTG